GCCTGCTTTAGGTCTTGTAGTTCCTTGAATGATAGGATGGGTGAGAGAGCTCTATCTACCTCTCTCTCTCTCTCTCTTTCTCTCTTGCTTGTGGGCTTTTATCCGTGTCATTGATTTTGCTTTGCTTCTCACCTGGATTTCTGCTGCTCCATTCTCTCGGGGTTATTTTTTGGAAATGGTTGTTGTGTTCCACCTTGAGTCAAGTTTTGTCAGTCAACTGTTGTGTATAAGCCCGAAGCAACAGATTATGGAATCCTTGAGGATACTTTTTGATTCTGGACTTTGGCCGCATTGCTGCCCAGTGTCCAATCATTCACCCTCAATCTTGGAGCAAGTAAAAGAGTTTGACCTACTAAGCTTGGTAGCAGTTGGTACTTCTGGTTTCTTCTTGTGATATTCCATGATTTAGTGATCTACTTTTGGAATGGTGCCGTTCTTGACCAACAGACTCTAAGTGTCAATGGTGTTGCAGGACTATTTTGACTGGAAGGGTGAAGGTGTTCCTCGCTGCCACTGTGGTGGCTTGCTACGTCCTGACATAGTCCTTTTTGGCGAGCCTTTGCCCACAAGTTTTCAAACGTCATCTACTCCAGATTTCCAGGAAGCAGATTTGTTGATCATCATGGGCACATCATTGCAGGCAGTTTTTGGGTCGGCACGCTTGCTTTGAATGGTTGAATTGAATCGCTTTGACGCGTTTCAATACTTGTATTAAAAGCAAGACTTTACAAACTCTTCAACGTGGATTCAAGTCTGGCAGTTTTGCTTGGGGTGTAAAAATATTGTCCATTCGCCTCAACCAGGTGCATCCGTTTGCCTCCTTGCCCAAATTGGTGAAGTCGAATTGCGCGATTCTGGTCGTGAACCGTGAGCTGCCTCGAAGCCTCAGTTTACATCGACAGGTGCGATCTCTTCAATCTCGGCTCACCGGAAAGAAGCTCAGGAAGGAGGCCCAGGGCTGCCAGGGTCAGAGAATCTGGGCATTTTGAACGTCCTAAGGGTGTAGCACCATGGGGGACCCTATCAGTGCAATTTCCTTACATGTTCAGGTACTTGTAAGGTGTGTTTATGCGTTTGCATCATTTGCAACCGACTTTACCAGACTGGTGCGAACGCATGATGCACCGCATCCTCTATGATAGTTCTTATTTGGGCTAGGGCAGGGGAAACGAAATCATTTCAGCGTTATATGGATCCTTACAACGGCTGCAGGTTTTCCTGCAAGGGGACTGTGACACGAGCATACGCTGGCTTGCCTCCGAATTGGGATGGAGCAAACAACTTGAAGAAATCAGACAACCAGGTCGAGAAATTATTTCCACTTAAGCACCAGCCAGAGATTGGCCGGTTGCTGCGTGCAAGCTGCCATATTTGCACAGAGCAGCTCTCAACAGCTGCAAGTAGAAGTGCGTGCCAACAACAACGTGTCAAGCCTGTCTGAAGGCTTACAACGATTGGACGCCGTGTGAACAGTTCATACCGCTGTACAGCAAAGCCGAAGCGCTGTCCAGACAAGGTCAAAGACCTAGGCTCTTGACAGACAAGACCGTTTTAGGATGTCTCTTTTGGAGTCAATTTTAAACTTGTAGGCTGGAGGCCACGAGTTTAAAACGTCAAGATTGATTCTTGGCCTTTCGATCGAAAATACTGCACGCGGCACACGGTGGCGTCGATGTCCGAGAGGTGGGAGATGTGGATCTAGATACAGGTGGACTGTGCGTGGTGATTTGGATGCCGGGTTAGGTACTTGTCGTATCTTGTAGTTTCTTGTGAGTAATTGGAGGATGCTGCTCCAGGCTGGAAGGACAAAGAATCCGAGGGCCATGCATAATTGATCTCAAATCAGTAATCAGATACTCTTTTTCCGTGGCCAGAAGAGACAGACTTCAGATCCGTTGATGGATGTCAATGGAAAGATTGGTGTGGAAGTGTTAGCCCTTTTATCATGCGCTGCTTGCAATGGAGGAGGCACCAAGTTTCCAGACAGGTCATCCCTTGCAGAACTACACGTCCCTTCCTAGTATCCCAGTAATGTCACTGCTTCTTGGCGGTTCTATGTGTTTGTTGAGTGGAAGTATAGAAGGCCCATGAAGGCCTTAATGGAATTTGCGCTCAATTGTATCAGATGGAAAATCAAGCTGGAAGCCTGCCCCAGCATTGTGATCATGGCAGTGTCCAAGGCTTGGCACCCTTGGTTAAAGCGTCCCAAGGCTTGGCTCAGCTTCGTTTTGTTCTTCGGTACAACGTTTTGGGGTTTGTCATATTTTATTGTCGTCTCATTACCCATTCTGGATAGGATATTGACTCAACCAAGTCTTTGCTTTAACGGATTCATGGTTGCTGCAGATCAGGTGATACAGAGACGTCGAAAGCATTGGTGCTCCAAAATGGAGCGGCACCAAAATGGAGCGATGGTTGTTCTTGGAAAGATTGAATATTGCCAGTGACAATTCCTTAACTGTTGCTCTAGTTGTTCATGGGTGGTCCTGAAAAACAGAATTGTGCTGTTTGGAGGAAACGCACATTTGCATGTCATTTGCATCACCCGTTGTACCCCACTTGGTTGCAGCACATTTACATTGTTCGTAACAAGCCCTGGGGCCCAAGGGCAGGTATGGTGGAAACATGTGGAAACTCTTGCCTCGCAAATGCATGGATCGCATTTTTTTCAGAGCATGAACTCTATTGCCACATATTTTTGAATCCAACAACTTGCAAACACATTGATCAGCCATCGACTCGCTGGAACATGGAACCCAAAGAGGAGAACAACGGTTCTTTGACATGTTGGCAGTCTTTTTCCGACTGTTCTGAACTTCTCGTGTCAGGATCCCCCACATGCTTCGTCCCAACGCCCAAGACAGAAGCTTCGCGGCCAAATAGCGACCTTTGACAACCTTTGATCTAAGATGATCCAAGACATCAAGAATTGATCAAACCAAGATCGATGTTCTTGATTGACAGCAGTCTATCCACTTTTCACCAGTCTGGTCCAGGCTTCCCAACGTGACCCGAAGCGAATTCCAAGGCGCTGGGTTGAGAAATATATCAAAACTTTATCATTCACTGACCGGTTGCATTCCGGATAATCTTGCTTTGCCTATGTGTCACTGAGATGTCATTTTGAGCTTCCGTGGTGCCAGATTGCTTCAAACGGCCAGAAGAGAGGCCTTTGGAAAGCTGTGGAGCTGGTTTGGAGCTGGTGTGCCATTGTTTTTGCTTGGACACTTCATCGAGTAGAGCTGCAAGTTGGACCATTGGAGATCCCACGTGTGAGTGAACTCTCGGGCCCTTCTTTTTCCTCCTGATTCTGTGGTCCTCCTGAGACGCAGTGTTTGGCTCGTTTTCCCTGTGCTTCAGAGTCTGAGCTTGAGGCAGCCTCAGGCAGCTCCGGTAGAAATCAGAAAAGAAGAAGAGCCCACCGAGCATTAGAAGCTCGGGTTTTGTCATGTCAGTTCACTGGGTGAAAGGCGTGGACAGCTTGTAGTCTTCGTTGCCTATTTCCAGACTTGTGACCACGGAAGGAGGTTGCATGGGCAGTTTAGACTCCAAGCCACATCTACGTATCTTGCACAAGATTTGAAGACGTGCCATGCACAGGCTTTTGGCCAAGATGGTTCTTTTGACCTGCGCATGCCCAACAAATGACGTGAGCCGAAGTATGGAAGACGCTTGGAACTGAAGAGAGTAAGGTTTGGGACGGTGCGGATGGTTTTGTGAGTGATCTTGTGTTTTTTGTGCAGTTCTTTGTGTTTTGGTCAAAAGAGAGCGTTGTGCTAAGCTGATTTGCCTTTAGACCATGCTGGTGGTTTGGTTGTTTTGCGGTCTCGGGACTTCTATAGCCGGAGTTGTCGCCAATGGCTTGGAAGGTTGATATTGAAGCAGAGGCCGGTTTTGCTAACGTATCGAGATTGTTTCTTTGACAGTATTCTTAGATGCTGTTTTGTTGCACATGATTGGATAAGCAGCAGTTTGTGGGCTGGTAGGTGTTGCACCAAACCAATCTTCTTGCAGGCAGAGATGATCCTCAAAGCCGAACAAGAGGCCGATTCCGGGAACCGATATGCCAGGATATGCCAGGCATGTCATGTAGGCCACCATCCCGATGTCCCTCTGTGTGCAATGTGATGAGCTCTTTCTTTGAATTCAACGTATTGTTTACATACTGTGTTTACAGATGTCTCGTCTGCGGTGCTGTGTGAGTGAAGTTGACATAGCTAACCTTTTTGTGTGGGCCCGGACCGGAGCAGCGGGCCTCCGTGGCTCCCAGACCTGCTTGCAGTTGGTGGAGCTACGCTGGAGTTTGCAAAGGGCGCGATCTGAAGCAGAACAACAGGCTTGGCCACCATGGCACAGAAATCATGTGAAGCATCAAGGGATGCTTCCAGCATTTAGCACCATTGCAGTGCGTATTTGCAATTTCGGATGTCGGTTCCAAGTTAGTTCCAAGCTGTGAGCTGCGGAACCTAGAGAACTATTCACATTTCGTACAGAAAAAATAGTTGAAATACTTATAGATAAGTTTTCTCGCCATGGACTCTTGGAGGATTTGTTGCTAGCAGTTTGACTTGAAAGGGCGAGGCCTTGTCTAGCAAGGGTTTATAGTTTATAGAAGCAAGAAAATGAGCTGAAGGGCTGGTCTTGTGCTTTGCAAGAGGTCGATGATCTGATGAAGGAGGCGCGCCCCTCAAGATCTCGAAATTGTTGAGACTTTCAAACTTTACTAAGAACAAGAACGCTACTAGGGGCTCCTGGCATCGCTACTAGGAGCAAGAAC